ACATTTACTAAGTAACAATTTCCATAAAATTTTTGGAAAGTGAATGAAAGATGAAGATTTTAGCAGGTGTGTAGGATAAATTTGAACATAGGTAGGGTAATTAAAAAAGTCTGTTCACAGCTCAGGATCAGAAAATTAACATTTAAATGGCTAAGGAGTCCAAGGAATTGTTCAAGTTTATACGAAAACAATAAATTCAATTCAGTGGAAAAATGAATTATTAGTTAAGTGGTATTGATTCAAACCAACAGGAAAAAATAGTTATATTCATAAAATATAACTCCGGAAGAACTGAGCTCTCACCATAAAAATAAAAACTACATAAATACACGAAGAAAATTTAAGTACTATTGTATTGGTGTGAGGACAAGGAAGGCTGTCTTGAGCAAGACAGGAAACCAGGTTTGATCAAAACAAAGGACTGATTTGGCTTCGTGAGATTAAATTTACTCAAAAGAAAATCTGAACAAAATTTCTGAAAGTCACCTCCAGAAAATATTGGTAACATTGGTAACAAAGACATTTTTAATATACTTAACAAAAATATAGAATGCCAACTGATTTATAAAAAAGTAAACAATTAAACAAAAATGAGCAAAAGCTATGGACAAATGCACAGAAGTTAAGAACAATAATAGCCAACACACGTGAGAAGGTCTTCAATGCAGTGAGCTGTCAGAGAAGGGAGGTTTAATGAGGATGTTGTCGCCCAAACGGTAGGACGTGTGAATTTCTACTGTGTTTCCAGAAGATGTAATGTGTATATATTTCTAGCACCATATGCTGTCCATTTGTTAAAGGACCAGTAGGTGAGACTGTATAGGGAAGAGTTTATTGCAGCATTATTTATAATGCAAAATTCTAGAAACACCCAACTATCCATATGTGAAAAATTTTGTTAAGTCTTTATATAGTATTCCACACTACATGATGTTACATAACTCTAAAAAAAAAAGGGGGGGGGGACTGCATCTGGCATCATCAAGTTTTTGTTTAAAAAAAGATAAAAAGTGTGTTTGTGTATATATAATATGTACACACACACAGAGCTTTGAATAAACACAGAAACATGCACGGGGTGATAGTACACTAGACAGGTCGCTGGTACTGGAGTAGAAGAACAGACTATTATTCTCTTTCTTGTGTACACCTATGTATCTGTGAATTGTTAAAACAGGCATTACCCTTAAAATTATTAACTGTCAGAAAATTACTTAATCATACATAACTATATACATATATATAACTATATATAACTATATACAGTAACTCGCTGTATGCAGTAAG